TTCCCTAGGGTTACTCTATTGAATCAGTAAAAATATAGAAAAAATGTCAAAATTTGTGTGAATAAACATTGTCATTATTAATTTTCTAAACATATACCTGTATTTTATAGATTATGCAAAGGTGTTCGGTAAAGTTTGTCACAAAAATCAGTTGAAACTGTTCAGCAACCTTAACATATTTGGGAAGTATATTAGAATCAAGAACTTCTACTGGCAGAAAACTGCCAGTATATGGATAGAAAATGAGTTCAGTAAATATACAAAAATAGAAAGAGATATGAGAAGTATATGTGTTCTCATCTGATTTATTTAACCTATACAGCAAAGCGATTCTGAGAGAATTAGATGTCCTACCAGGATTCATTATTGGCAGCCACAGTCTTAAAACATAAGATTTTTAGATGAAATTATGTTGATAACAGACAGAAAACTAAAAAAAAATCCTACAGAAGGAAAGCAAGAAGAAAGGACTAAACATAAACTGCAAGAAGACAGAATGCATGGTTATCAGCAAAATAGCGAGACCAAAATGCAAATCACAAATCAGAAATACCAAAATCAAACAAGTAAAACAATTTAAAAATCTGGGAAGTGTTTTAACAGAGGATGGAAAATGTGACACTGAAATCTGAATGCATATTGAGATAGCTGAAGATGCATCCCATCCTGGGTATGACAATAAACTATGTCCAGCAGCAAGGCCTCTGTTCAGGAGGTTTTGAGGAGCATGGAACAATCTGGTGTTCCCAGGTCCACCCTGATCGGGGTGGTAGCACCTGTTAGGGTCCCAGCTATGGGCAAATAGTTAACCCTGAAGCTGGAGTAAAAATGGGTTTTAATACAAGGAATAATTTGTAAAAAAAAGAAAAATTATCAACAATACATTTTTGAGGAAAAAAAAATATTACCAGCAATACATTTTTGAAAGAGAAATTTATTACCAGAAATAGATTTTTAACAAAACAAAACATTACCAGCAATAAAACTTTGTCGGCATTAAATAACCCATTGAGGTTGATATGCCATAAAACACAACAAACCAAACCAGAAATACTTTGTAATAAAAAAAAATTATGATCAGCAATACAAACAGCTATACATTCTTTAAAAAAAAATATGACCATCTATAGATTTCTTCAAGAAAAAATATTCCCTGACATAGATTTTTGAAGAAAAACATTACCATTTGTTGGCATTAAATAACCCACTGAGGTTGATATGCTATAAAACAAACCAAACCAAACCGAAGATGCATTACAAAAGCTAAGAGTATTAAGATATGGAAAATCTTCATTAGAATTAAAGAAAAGAGTACTGAACAGCTCAATGATAGCTGTTCTTCTATATGGTAGTGAATGCTGGACAATCTCATTAAAGATGAAGAAGAAACTTGAAACAACAGAAATGTGGTTCTACAGAAGGATGCTGAGGATACCATAGACTGAATATGTGAGCAGCGACAAAGTTAAAGAGAAAATAGAAACAAAAAGGAAACTTATACTTAACATCATGAATAGACAGTTAAAATTTCTTTGGTGGCACATAATGAGGAAAGAGTGCTTGCTAAATCTGATACTCACAAGACAGAGCGCCAGAGGAAAAAATCTATAACATACTTAGTGAGCTCAAGTAAATGGATGGTAGAACAGGGTTTAGAAATAACAAAAAGATAAAATTTATTAAATGCTACAAGGAACAAGAAATTGTGGAGAGCCATGATCACCTACATGCTGAGGGGAGATGGCACATAAAGAAGAAGAATTATTTTTTCTTTCATATTTTTTGTTGCATTTTCTTTTTTAATTACAATGATCAAATAAGAGAGAGGTCCATACTGCAGATTCATGAACAGATACTCTTCCATAGGGTTACTCCATTGAATCAGCAAGTATATTGTGTGGCTCCAACATATACAGTAAATAAGCATCAAATTCTGCTTGTAAATTGAACTTTCATCTGGAAACTATTGAAATAATTAAGGCTTTCAGGGATGATTCTGTGAGTGGAAAACGCCAGATAAAATTTTCTTACTAATGCTTCAAACTTTAAACAGATATCTGTTAAAGGTTATCAATGATCTTTAAGGATTTCATACATCGGTAATTGATAATATGAAATTAGACAAATATCTTGGGATTCCGCAGACTGTCTGGAATGCATGCAATCTATTGGAATATCTACACTGTCCATTCTTTTTGTCTCAAATAGGTATTTTTGGCAAAGCATTGCATCACCAAGGGCTGTCAATTCCCTCCAGAATTAAGAATTGTTTCTTTGTAAGTTTTGGTATTGCCACAAACATTAAATAAGGACAATATTTAAGATTGTGTATGAGATTAAGGAGAACATAATTAGACAGCTAATGGTGATCCCAAAAGAGGATTACATTGACTATTTTAAAAAAATAGGTGAGCCAGCATTATTACTCTTTTTTAGAGAAAAATCCACATGGGAATATCTTTATTCCAACCAACCTTTTTTTAAGTATTCCAGAAATTTTATCATACCCCTTAATTTAGGTAACAAACTTCAACATATTGTTTCATTTGAATATTTAATAAAAGGAGTGGTTGAAATAAGACTGCCCTTGGTTAATTTCTCTGAAAAAAAGAATAATTGTCCTGGCTGGTGTATTTGTAACTCAAACATAGTTTTTTTTTTTTTATCTCAATATTACAGGACTATGGACGAGTTTGATCTTTGATAGAAGAATAATAATTCCACAGATATTTCCTATTTCTCTTTTAAATTTCCTTTACATACTTGCTCTCCTCTTTTTTTTTTAATCATTTTATTCAAGCAAGGCAATAAAGCAACTAAGATGCAAGGGGTTCCTGAGTGTGAGATGATATGAGAAAAAGTAAACATTATTAAGGAGAGAGAACAATAAAAGTACAGGAATCATAATTAAGACGATATATGATTGACATTGAGTTCAAATTTTTGAAGATTAATGTTGACTGGAAAGCAAGATGCAAGAAAAGAGAAAAGTGATAGGAGAAACTGTTAGCATAGAACTTACGGTTGCATCTAGCCATTTCAACTGTAAAAGGATAAGATCTTGCATCCAAACTTGTGCGGAGCTTAAATTCATAAAGTCTAGGTACTAAAGAGGGAATTTCATCAAAACAATTATCAAGAAAATGTTTATAGAAAGGGCACAGGGAAATTACATTATGTCAATGGGAAAATGATTAAAGCTGAGATGCCAGCTCAGGACCAATAGCATTGCAGATTCAATTTTTTGATTTTATCAAGAATTTCTAAATACATAGCAGAAGCACCAAACCAGATGTAACAGCAATATTCAATGCATGGACGAATGGTAGATTTAAAAATGTGCAAGATGGATTCTGATAAGAAAAACTTTGGCGGTGGGAAAGTAAAGTCATAATTCTAGGTGAGGACCAATAACATTACATTATTTGGATTTTGTCGAGAATCTCGATATATAACAGGAGCACTAGACCAGATATGGTGGCAATATTCATTGCATGGACGAATGGTAGATTTATAAGATAGACAATTTTTCTCACCAGAATCTATCTTGATATTCCAGCCATCATGCCTCTTTTTTCTCTCTGGTATTCCCATAAGTCAAAGTTAATAAAAAAAAAGAACCTGTATAGAAACCTGATTGCTTACGTTTTGAATGAAAACAGCCTTAAAAAGAAAATCCAAATGGAAAAACCTTTTTAGTAAAGCATTGCATCACCAAGGTCTCTCAAGCCCACTCATGGGATAAGATTTGACATTCTGTTATTCTGGCGTTACTTACAGCCATATCACATTCCATCACTGGTTCTCATCAGATCACCAGAGTTAAGTAATGCCAAGCCTGGACAATACCTAGACAGGTAACCTCTTAGGAATACCAACTGCTGTAAGTTTGAATGTGTAATGTACAGCGGTTGGGGGATAATGGCTCAGAATAAGAAATCAGAGAGTCAAGTTCAAATTCCAATCTGGTTTGTGACATTCACATATGCACAAATAACTTTGGGTGATCAGGAATCGAAAAGAGACATGATCATCCAAGCATATCACATCTGCCCCTACTAAGACCAATGCAGTCAAGTAATGGCTCCATTTTTCCCTATGATCCAACAAAGGATCTTCACAGGCTGAGGTATAAAACAAAGTTCTAGTATTGCTACAGTTAAAATCAACATTAAAAATGTGAGAATATTTCAGTATGTGGACAAGATTAAGGAGACTGTGATTAGACAATTGATGATAATGCCAAAAAAGAACTTTTAAGATTTAAAAAAATGGATTTATTGCTCTAGTTAAGCTATTTTTTTGTTAATGCAAAATAGTAAGATAATTTCTGGACCTACCCTATTTGCTAGGCATTGATTTTGGTCATTGCATTCCTTAGAGGGGAATAAGACCCTCCCAAAAGCAACTACTTGCCTGGTAGATGCTTGCAGACTTGGATATGGACAACAAATGTTTACCAAAAGACTCAAGTAGAAATATGACCAACATTTACATATGGACTCAAGTATAAACACCACTCATGTTCGCCTCATGTATAATCAAAAACAGATTTCAACATTAAATAACCCAATAAGGGTTAATATGTTGTAAATTCACTAACCCTAACCCTTTTCCAGAAAGGCCACATATAAAAGAAAAAAAAATTTAATTCAGATTTATTGGTTATTATAATATGAATACAATTATTTGTGTGTATTAAACTAATTTTTTTTTTCTTGCATAATGTAATTTGTTATTTCTTTGCCTACACGCCAAAAAAAGATATTTAATAATACTGACAGCTTTCAAGACTACATTTTTAAAATATGACGCCAAGTAAAAGAAAAAAAAGAAATTAAAAAGAATTAATGAATGTAATTTTTATATTTATTTCATTTAACCTGTATTAAATTTCTCATATTTCAAGTAATCTTTTATTTTAATTAATTTCTTCATTTTAATTTGCTTCAGAAATGATTAAATTACTGTCAAAAATAATTATATTATATCTTTTCCAGCCCCACCTGTGATACTAGATATAGTAGATTATGATAAGTAAGTATATCACTTTGTGCTTTTTACTTTATATATGTACTAGTGGATTGTATAGCATTATTTAAACACCATTCTGTATACATTTTTGTTTTGTAGATTCATTTAACAATGTTAAATGAAAGTACTCTGACTATCATCAGGTATCTATTACTTTAGCTAATATGGGATATCTTACAAAAATATTATTTTAAAGTGGACTCTGGTAGAGTAATGGATAGCGGCTCAGATTGAGCAACCAGAGAACCAAGTTCAAATTTCAGTTGGGATCTATTACATTCACTTACATGCTAATACCCTTGGGAAAGGTATGAATCCTCTTCTTCTCCCCCCAGCTATGGGTAAATAGCAGGACAGACTGAGTTCTTGGATGGCAACTGGTTTAACACAGAAAGAAATGGCAACCTACTGTGGGGAAAAAATCTGCCTCTCGTCAGTCATGTATCAAAAGATACATGATCATTTATGCGTGTATCATGCATGGCATATAACTGAAGGTGTCATTGCTGGAGTTAGGTCACTTTTTTTATCATCATCCATAGCAATCAAAGATGCAAACAACTGTTTGAATATATCAAATAAAGTAAAGACAATTTCTCTTCTTAGAAATGAAAAGCAACAAACATCTGAAGATGGCTTCAGTGTTCTTGGCCGAAACATGGTGTCTAAAATAACATCTATAATAATCAAAGATAAGAACAATAGTACAAATAACTTAAAATATATTGACAATTCTTCTTCACAGAAATAAAAACAATAATGGACACCTGAAGAAGGCTTTAAGCTAGTTAGTTGAAACATGGTGTCTAAAATAACATCTATAATAATCAAAGATAAGAACAATAGTACAAATAACTTAAAATATATTGACAATTCTTCAGAAATAAAAAACAATAATGGACACCTAAAGAAGGCTTTAAAGTTGAAACATGGTGTCTAAAATAACATCTATAATAATTAAGAACAATAGTACAAATAACTTAAAATATATTGACAATTCTTCTTCACAGAAATAAAACAATAATGGACACCTGAAGAAGGCTTTAAGCTAAGTTAGTTGAAACATGGTGTCTAAAATAACATCTATAATAATCAAAGATAAGAACAATAGGACAATTCTTTTCACAGAAATAAAAACAATAATGGACACCTAAAGAAGGCTTTAAGCTAGTTAGTTGAAACATGGTGTCTAAAATAACATCTATAATAATCAAAGATAAGAACAATAGTACAAATAACTTAAAATATATTGACAATTCTTCTTCACAGAAATAAAAACAAAATGGACACCTGAAGAAGGCTTTAACTAGTTGTTGAAACATGGTGAATATTAATCAAAGATAAGAACAATAGTACAAATAACTTTAAAAATATATTGACAATTCTTCTTCAGAAATAAAAACAATAATGGACACCTCCCAGTTGAAACATGGTGTCTAAAATAACATCTATAATAATCAAAGATAAGAACAATAGTGCACAAATAACTTAAAATATATTGACAATTCTTCTCACAGAAATAAAACAATAATGGACACTAAAAGAAGCTTTAAGCTAGTTAGTTGAAACATGGTGTTAAAAATAACATCTATAATAATCAAAGATAAGAACAATAGTAAAAAATAACTTAAAATATATTGACAATTCTTCTTCACAGAAAAAAAAAACAATAATGGACACATGAAACATGGTGTCTAAAATAACATCTATAATAATCAAAGATAAGAACAATAGGCAAAATATATTGACAATTCTTCTTCACAGAAATAAAAACAATAATGGACACCTGAAGAAGGCTTTACTAGTTAGTTGAAACATGGGTGTCTAAAATTATAATAATAAGATAAGAACAATAGTACAAATAACTTAAAATATATTGACAATTCATCTTCACAGTAATCCAAAGAAGGCTTTTAAAAGAAGGAAACATGGTGTCTAAAATAACATCTATAATAATCAAAGATAAGAACAATAGTAAAATAACTTAAAATATATTGACAATTCTTCTTCACAGGATTGAAGAAGGCTTTTGAAACATGGTGTCTTAACATCTATAATAATCAAAGATAGAACAATAGTACAAAATAACTTAAAAATATATTGACAATCACAGAAATAAAACAATAATGGACACCTGAAGAAAAGCTAGTTAGTTGAAACACTAAAATAACATCTATAATAATCAAAGATAAGAACAATATCAAATAACAAAATATATTGACAATTCTTCTTCACAGAAATAAAACAATAATAAAAGGCTTTAAGCTGAAGTTATTGACTAAAAATAAATATAATTCAAAGATCAATAGTACAAATAACTTAAAATAATTGAAATTCTTCTTTAAAAAAACAATAATGGACACCTGAAGAAGGCTTTAAGCTAGTTAGTTGAAACATGGTGTCTAAAATAACATCTATAATAATCAAAGATAAGAACAATAGTACAAATAACTTAAAATATATTGA